GGATCTTCCCATCTCAACCCCTCCTAAATAGCTGGATTACAGGCAATGTCATCAAGCCTGGTTAATTTTTGTATTTTTGTAGAGATGAGGTCTATGTTGCCCAGGCTGGTCTCAACTCCTGAGCTCTAGCAATTCTCCCACTTCACCCTCCCAAGGTGCTGGGATTATAGGCACGAGCCACTGCACCCTGGCCTAGTATTAGTTTTTTTGAAGGAAGCAGGAGAGAAGGGAGAGATATGGTATTGACAGATATTTTTTTCACATATCAGTGCATATCTGCACAAAAAGCATAAGTTAATTTAATCAAATAGTTGATTAATCCAGAGAAGAAATACCTCATATCCCCAAAATGTGACAAAATTAATACAAAATGATTACATAACTATAGTCCAATATTTTTATAACTTTACGCATAGTGCTTTTATTATTTCATTTCCTTTCAAAGAGTCCTCATATACTCCATGACAGTGTTTCTCAAAACATGGTTCACAGACCTCTGTGGTCTCCAACATCGTTTAAGGTCTTTAAGCTCAAAATTATTTTCAAAATATACTAAGATATTATTTTACTTTTCACTGTATTGACATCCACATAGACATTTCAAAGTCATAGTGCATAAAAAGTGCTGGTGACAGCTCAAATCAAGGCAGTGGCATCAAACTACTAGTAGACACTTTATTTATTATTTATTTACCAATATGCACTCATAGGGAACAAAATTTCAGTTTTACATAAGAGAATTCTTGATGAATTATTTTAAAAATCTAGGCCTTCAATGTATATCCTTCTAATATTCTGTGTAATGAAATGGAAAATATACATAAAGCAATTCCACCACATACCAAAACATAATGGTTGACTTGAGAAAATACCTTTGTGCAATTTTTTTTAGTTGCAAGCTGAACTAGCCTTTATTTCATGAAATATCATTTTTACTTTAAAGAACAAGTGATAGCGGGGAGAGTGTGTCTTCCCGCCGGGCGAGTGGGGCTACGTCGACCGTGACCAGTGACGGTGGCCATGGCTGTAGCCAGTTTGAAATCATGGCACGTCCTGAAGCTGATGCCCAATTACAGTTCACTGGTATTAAAAAATATTTCAACTCGTACACCCTTACGGGTAGAATGAATTGTGTATTGCCCACATATGGAGGCATTGCTTTGATGGTCTTATACTTCAAGTTAAAATCTAAAAAACTCCGGCTGTGAAAGCCACATAATGGATACTGAATTGTTAAGTTCCCATGCTTGGAGAAACTAATGTCAACTCATCACATGATGATTCAACTTGTACAATAAATTATGAACCTGGAAAAAAAAAAGAACAAGTGATAGACAAACTCTACTTATTAATTATACCTAAGTATTTAACAGTGTTTTTTCACAGAAATTAACAAAGTAGTTTTGCAACTTTGCTTTTTGGACATCCACTGTACACCATAGTGAATATGATTAATAGTAATGCATACTTGAAATTCCTTAAAAAGATCTTAAATGTATTCAACATAAAAATGTGTGTAAGGTGATAGATGTGTAAATTAGCTTGATTTCATCACTTCACAATGTACACAAAGTAAATATATACATTTTTAATTTGTTGATTATACCTAAATAAAGTTGGAGGCAAAAAGAAAGAAAGCAATTGGCAATACATGTTACTGATTATAAAATTCAGTAAAGCAGAATTTTGGAAAATTTATATATGCCTTCCTGAACTTGAGAGCTTCTCCATATTCAAAGGCTTTTTTGATACCATTGATGGTTATATTAACAAATTTGCTTGTAATATTGTGTGAGGTGTGCCAACATTTTGAAAACCTGCATAATTCAGTGAACAAGTATTTTCCAAAATGAACAATGTATGAGGTTGCAAATTCAGACATACTAAAAAGATCCATTCAAAGCGCAAGATAGACTGATAAATTTTTAAATAGCAGTACAAAAATTTCATTGATATGGTTTCAGATTCCACATTGCCACTACCTTTAAAAAACTACCACTTGTTAAATTTTAATGTAGTATTGAAGATTGTTCACAGTATCTGGATAGTAAATGCTTCTCCCTTTTCAACACTGTATCTGTGTAAGTGTGAACGTTCTTTATATAAGTCAAATAAGACAACACATTGTACTAGATTTAACATAAAAACAACTGTGAGAATGTAGCTGTCCACTATTAAGTCAAGTACTAGTGAAATTTGAAAAGATATAAAACAGTACTTTTCACAGCTATTTTTTTGTTTTGAAAAATATGGGTATTTTCATTAAAGCAGTTGCCATTATTTTAACTGAATTAATAAATACATTTTGATACCTAATTTTGAATCTTAATTAAAAATTAGAAGTCTTATATTTCTAATATTGATAACTGTAATCAATATAAACAAAATGTTCTTTGAAGACCCTCAGTTTTTTAGAGTGTAAAGAAATCTTGAGATCAAATTGTTTGAGAATAAATTATCTGCTGCCATGTTTAAAAACTTTCAATGAGTTCCTGATGTTCTAAAGACCAAATTCTTAACTTGACCTTAATTATTAACAGTATATTACAATTACATAGATATTTATATCTCATATGATGTTCCCTTTTGTGAATACACTGTTCCTTCTCATCCACCTCACCTTGTTAACTCTTTCTCATCCTTCTGGTTTCAGCCTAAGCAGCACTTCCCCAGGAAGTGCTTTCTCTTTTTCTAGTTATATATTTATTGGTGGAAATATTTGATTAATGTATTTCTTCCCAGTAGATGCAAAAGCCATGGGAACAATAAGCATGTATGTTTTGGCTTACCACTATATTTTTTCTCCAAGCAGAATACTTAGCACAGAGCAGGAGATAAAATATTTGTTGGTGATTGAATAAGTGGATGAATATATGAACTGTCATATTCATTGATAGAGTCATACCTCTATGAATTGATAAAGTCGTGTCTATCACTTCTTTTGACCTAAAAATCTACTGTTGAGTAACATTTATTTACATGTATTTCTCCATACCGCTCTTGTTACTAGGCTATTGTTAAATTTGACATGTTTTATTGTCTCTGTGCAATCTATCAGTCTCTCCATGTGACTGTTCACTGTTTTTTTAAATTTTAAAGTCATGGGGTACAAGTCAGGATTGCGAACATAGGTGATTTAGGTACAGGTGAAGTTTTAGGCTCCCCACTGGACCTCAATTCGGATCAGGTTACCCTTATTGATGTTATGTGTCCCCACTCTCCTGGTAGTGTCCCGCTACTGCCAATCCCTTTTTGTAGTATTATGATAGGTGTTCAGGGTCCACTTATGAGTGAGAATATGTGATACTCAGAGCTTTGTTTCTGTGATAGATCACTGAGTATGATAGACTCCAAATCCATCCAAGTTGCTGTGAAGTCCATAATTTTGTCCATTATGGCTGAGTAATATTCCATCATGCATATGTACCACATTTTTTTATCCAGTCCAGTTTTGATGTGCAGCACAGTTGGTTCCATGTTTTGCTACTGTGGATAGTGCTACAATAAACATGTGTGTGCAGGTAACTTCTTTGTAGAATGATTTGAGTTCCTCCAGGTATATTCTCAGAAGGGGGACTGCTGGATTTCTCGTTCTTTCTAGCACTATTTTCTATAGAGGTTAATTTAGTTTGAACTCCTACCAACAATGCAAAAGCATTTCCTTCTCTCTGCATCTTCGCCAGCATATGTTGTTTTTTGTTTTATTAATGATGGCCAATCTTACTGGAGTTAGGGGGTACCTCAGTATAGTTTTGATTTGCATTTCTCTATGATTAGTGAGGCTGAGCAGTTTTTCATATGTTTGTTGGCTGCTCGTATATCTTCTTTTGAGAAGTGTCTATTCCTGTCTTTTGCCCATTTTTAAATGGGGCTGTTTGGTTTGTTTGTTTGTTTGTTTGTTTTTCTTAGGCATGTTTGAGTTCCTTGTAGATCCTGGATGTTAGGCCTTTGTCAGATATATAGTTGACAAATATTTTTCACCATTCTGTGGTCTGTCTCTCACTCTCTTAATTGTTTGTTTTGCTCTGCAGAAGCTTTTCAGCTTGATGAGGTCCCACTTGTCTATCTTATCTCTTTTAGCATGGGCATCTGGAGTTTTGATTAGGAATTGGTTGCCTATTCCAATTTCCATAAAGGTGTCTCCTGCATTTCCTAAGATTCTTATAGTTTGAAGTTTTACATTTAGGTCTTTGATCCATTCAGAGATGATTTTTGTGTATGATGTTAGGTAGGGGTCCTGTTTCATTCTTCTGCATATGGTCACCTAGTTTTCCCAGCACCATTTACTGAATAGGTTCTCCTCTCCCCAGGGGTTGTTGGTGGAGGCTTTGTGGAAGATGAGTTGGTTGAGAAATTCAGGTTTTGCTTCCAGAATCTCTATTCTGTTCCATTGGTCTATATGCCTGTTCTTGAACCAATAGCAGTCTGTTTTGATTATTGTAGCCCTATAATAAGTTTAAAGACTGGGAGTGTGATACCTCCCACTTTATTTATTTTGCTGAGGATTGTTTGACTATTCTTGGTCATTTATGTTTCCTTATGAATTTCTGTATTGTTGTTTCCAGGTCTGAGAAGAATGATGATGGTAATTTAAAGGGAATTACATTGAGTCTATAGATTGCCTTGGGTACGATAAACATTTAACAATTAACAATGCTGATTCTTCCAGTCCATGAGCATGGAATATCCTTCCATTTGTTTGTGTCTTCTTTGATTCCTTTGAGCATTATTTTGTAGTTTTCACTCTAAAGGTCTTTCACTTCTCTCATTAGAAAGATGTGAAGGTATTTGATTTTTTTTTTTTGTAGCTATTGTGACTGGGATTGACTGTTCACTTTGTAAGGCTTGAACTGTATTCTATTCATCTGTGTAATCAAATTATACAATAAAGTGTTTAGCACTCAATACACACTCAGTAAATGCATGTGTGAAAGGATGTTTGAACTAAACTTTTAATAAATGACATTACATATCTTAATTTTTTAAATTATTTCAGTTAAAACTCAGGTAATGGGAGAAATCAAGATTGCATTGAAGAAGGAAATGAAGACAGATGGTGAACAATTAATAGTTGAAATTCTCCAATGCAGAAATATCACATACAAATTTAAGTCTCCTGATCATCTACCAGGTATCCAATTGTATAATAGTGATCAATATGATATATCTAGGACTTCATTAAGGGTGTGTCTTAAGTATTCTGGAAAATGCTAACTAAAATTTGAACTACACACCAAATATATCAGAAAATGTGAAAAAAGAATGATTAATATATGCAACAAGTTTTCTTCTAATTTTTTCTAGTTGTTAACTATATGTCTCAAATGCAGATATTATAGTGATGTATTTATTAGATAAAAGAGAAACAAATTTCAATTATAAAGAAAATAAGAGCATTGGCTAGGCACAGTGGCTTATGCCTATAATCTTAGTGCTTGTGAGGCCAAAGTAAGAGGATTATTTGAGGCCAGAAGTTCAAAATCAGCCTGAACAACATAGTGGGACCTTGTTTCTACCAAAAAAGCAATGAGAATTAGCCAGGTGTGGTGATGTACACCCATAGTCCTAGCTACTTGGGAGGCTGAGGGAGGAGGATCACTTGAGCCTAGGAGTTTGAGGCTGCGTTGAACCATGGTCATGCCACTGAATTCTAGCCTGGGCGACAGAGCTAAGCTCTGTCTCAAGAAAGAAAAAGAAGGCCGAGTGCAGTGGCTCCAGCCTGTAATCCCAGCACTTTGGGAGGTTGAGGCAAGAGGATTGCCTGAGCTCGGGAGTTTGAGAACAACCTGGGCAACTTGGTGAAATCTCATCTCTACAATAAAAAAACAACAACAAAAATAGGCCAGGCATAGTAGTGCACATCTGTAGTTTGAGCTACTTGAAAGACTGCGGCGGAAGGATCATCTGAACCCAGCAGGTCAAAGTTGCAGTGGCTATGAGTGTGCCATTGCGCTCTAACCTGGGCAACAAAGTGAGACTGTTACTCAAAAAAGAAAGAGAGAAAGAGAGAAAAAGAGAAAGAGAGGAAAAGTGGTTTTATCTTTAATCACTTTATGTTTTCTGAAGCAAATTGTACACATTCTGCTGGCTTTTTACAAAATGTAAAAAGAACTCTCAGATGCAATTATAATTCTTTCAATAGAAATATATATGATTAATGGACACTTAATGGACTGAATTCTTATTTTCAGATTTATATGTGAAAATATATGTGATGAACATCTCTACTCAAAAAAAGGTGATCAAGAAAAAAACAAGAGTATGCAGACATGATCGAGAGCCTTCATTCAATGAAACTTTCAGGTTCAGTCTAAGTCCTGCTGGACATTCTCTTCAGGTAACTCTGTATTATATAGTTAATATTTTAAATTTTTCATTTATATTGTATTTATTTATTTCTCATTCAATTATTCAATTTGTATGTGCTGATAATATGTTATGTGACATTTGAGAAATTAAATCTTAGCAGTACCTCTCCAAGAGTTCTTTAGAATTCTAGTCCACTCACTCCATCCAGTCAACTACCAAGTCATCTCTACTCTGTTTGCTGAATTTATGATATTTACATTTTTCTTCCATGCTCACTGCCACTAATCCCCTTTGGGATTCTATCTTTGGCATTCAAATAATTTCATCAGTTTACCTGGTCTACTTGACATGAATGTCTTATCCCTTTAGTTCATTTCATTACAGCACTGCCAGAGTTATCTTTTTAAAACCCTGGTTAGTTTACATTAATGTATCTCAATGACTCACCATTATCCTGAATCATTCAGAGTCCTACAAGGTGAGTTTTAATCGTATTGACTTAGTCTCAGCATCTTCTCTATTTAATACTCCAGTCACAGAAGAATTTTTTCAAGTCAGGTTAAGCCTCCAATCTTTTGTTCATATTTTTCCTCCCCTTCAAACCTCTTTTCTCCTTCTATCACAAGACACTACATATTTTAGTGCCTTTACTAATGACCCTGGGTATAATTCATCACACTTTATTCACAAAACATTTGGCTTATCATATTATGCCAACAAGCCCAGTCTGTCTTGTGTATATGTTATATAATATATATACTTACCTGTCACTGCTTCTATGCTATCAATTTCTCTAGGGCACAGCCTAATTGTCATTGTCCTTTGTTCTGTAGCCTAGCACATAGTATGAAATATTCTTTGCATGTAGTATGTCTTCAGTAGATCTAGAGACAAGAAATAAAAGAAGAAATGGGGGTGAGGATAAAAGAAATTATTTTAAATATGGGAAGAGACCATGGTACGACAACATAAAACAAATATTTCCAGTGGATGTGGTGATTCATGCCTGTAATCCTGCCCTTTGGGAGACTGAGGTTGGAGGATTGTTTGAACCCAAGAATTCAAGACCAACCTGGGCAACATAATGAGAACGCATCTCTCCAAAAACTTTATAAAAAATTAGTGAGAATGGCGGCATGCACCTGTAGTCCCAGCTACCTGAGGGGCTGAGACGGAAGGAGTGCCTGAGCCCATGAGGTCTAGGCTGCAGTGAGCCATGATCATGTCACTGAACTCCAGTCTGGGCAACAGAGTGAGACGCCGACTCAAAAAAACAAACAAATAAAAAAAGTTTACACTAGAGATAAATAGAAGAGCTATTATAAACCAAAAATGCCTTGAGAGGATTAACTGCTTTTAGAGTGAAAGGGATTTAAAAAATTAAACAATACTCTAAAGTCTATGTGAATAAATAAGGGATTTTGAGGGGAGAAAGAACAAGAATTTGTCTGAAATGAATTTGATAAGAAGGTATGAATTCAAATGAAAATATACAATGACATTTGAAATTCCAAAAACAGAAACCAGAAAATATGGTCGTATCTAGAAATAAATATTTTGAAGTCAGAAATATAAAAGTAAAGTTTTATCCAAGAAAAATGGTGAATTATCTGAAGAGGAAATTAAGAGAAAATGAAAAGAATTTTCAAGAATTAATGGTTAGCTCCATTGAATGCTTTCTACCTTCCTTTCAACTCATCTCTAATACAAACAAAGAATATCTTTTGTGTGAGATCCTGTGGGATAATATATATTCTGCATATGACTTAAGAAATCGCTTTGGAAGTGCATACTATAGTAAAATCACCAGTAGATGAAATACTAAATAAAATTAATGCTTTGTGAACTTCTATTTATTTATTCAACATCCAAATACTTTTGCATTTAATTTATGATAAACTAGCAAAAAATGTATTTAGCAAAGTTAGTTTGCAAAACTTTCTATCAGTTTTAAGCATAAACTTAGAATTAGCTGGTTATACATTTCTTATCTCTTATCTTTCAGAATGTATCTTTTCCTTTGGGAAACAATAAAAGTGTTGATGTGAATTAATTTATATTATGCAAATCTTTTGAGGACATTTTGGTTATAAGTTCTCCTACAAATATACCTACTACTTCCACATACCCTTAACCTCTCTTGTCTGTGCTGTTTCTTTGATATCCTTAAAAGAGGTTGGAAAATGTAAACACACACACATATATATGTATACATTAAATCCATATAATTTTGTCTACTTTTTCCTAGATATTACTTTTCTCCAATGGAGGGAAGTTTATGAAAAAGACCTTGATCGGTGAAGCATGTATCTGGCTTGACAAAGTGGATCTCAGAAAAAGAATAGTAAATTGGCACAAACTTTTGGTCAGTCCTACGCAAACACACTGAAGAAATGTGTCTGCTCAAGGTATAGACACTGCTCTAAATTGCCTCAAATCAAGACTATAGTTGAATACTATTGTACTAAGCTATGTTTAGAGGGGCAAACATGAGAGGGGGAACACGCAAAAATACAAGTAAAGTCGTGTAAATTATTGTTGTGGATCACAGAAAAGACTCAGGTGAAAAAGTTCACAAGCTGAAGACAGAAGAAAGTTGGAACTCTGAGAACTTGAATTTCACCTGTCTTTTAAAAGAAGCTGTGTGGGGAAATTTTGATTATTTAAGGCAAAAATCTTTGAGCAGAGTTGAGCTGTCGCTTGAGACAGAGGCTCAGAGATTAGTATGGTTTCCAGAGCAGAACAAAGGCAATACTTTAGGCAAAGAAACCTTGATTGAAAGGAAAGAACTGATGTAACAAATCTGTTTCTAAAACTTGGAAAATCTTTCTTCTTCATCTTCTATTCTTAGGTAAATCACTGTTTTGAGAATCTGACCTAAGATACAATATGTGTCCAGGACCAGCAGTGAGATGGCTGTGTTCTTAGAGAAAATGAAACAGATATAGAAATTGTGGCTTTTAGGCCACATTTTACAGACTTTCTGCGTCTAAATGTTACTAGGGTGTACAACACTGATTTTGGAATACATGTGGTAAAAGCACATTTGTTTCAGTATAATTTGAAATAATGTAGAGTGAAGAAGAAGGTAGAAGTAAAATTACATTTATCTAGAAATGAAACCATGACTGGCTAACAAGGAAGAATGTTGCCCCACAAAATATTGGAACTGATGGAAAACATCAAAATCTTCATAATTTTCCATTAAGCCAAGGCATTTTCAATGTATGTAACAAAGGACCTAGATTAAATTGATATGTTCTAGGAAGCATGATAGCTTATTTTTGGTGGAATTGCAAATAAATGTATTAGTCTGCATATTTTCTTTCTCTTGAGTGATGTTTTGACAGAGAAAGAAAATTTTTTCTCTGGCAAACAAACCACATTAATCTTGTGACACTGATTAATTAAATGGGCATAATTTCCTCTTTTCCATAATGCTGTTTCTTTTTTCCTTTAAAAAGTTGATTCATTAACTGATTGTATAATGAAAACCTGATACCAAACTCAAGTTCTTTCTAGTGCTCTATTTTCCTACTTTAGTGACCATATGACAGTGATCAAGTTAATCAGTGTTGGGAAAATATGTGAAAAGTCAACATTTATTGATATTAAAATATACTTTGAACTATTTTGATAATATAGAATAAAACAACTAAAGTCTAGGTCTTACAATGAAGCATTCTCTATCAATAACACTAATTAAAGAAGTAATGTGGAGTTGTGGAAAAAACACTCAACTGGTATTAAAAGCCTGGCTTCTGGTCTTAGTTCTGTCACTGACTATGTCACCTTGCACATGTGACTTAAACTCACTTTCCCTCGGTTTTCTTATCTGTAGGAAAACAATAATTATTCTTAGTCTTCTAAATGGGATATTAGGATGATAAATGATCTATGAAAGGTGAAAGCACATTTCCAAATATAGTTTTATACACAGAAGTGAGGAATAATTATTATGTAGCTTTTTAATTCTCAAATTTTATATGTAAAAAAATCCATTAAACCAATGGCAAGCATTGGCATGGGTAAAATCAATAAATTAACTCCGAAACTCATTTTTTACTTAAATTTTCAACATTCATTTAGCCTGAAAAAGGTGAAGAATTAAATGAAAATGATTTGCAAATGCTCTTATCCCATTCCCACATCCCACTGAAAATAAATTAATTAAATTGCTTCTCAGCTCATTCTGAGCTTAAAAACTGCTGCTTTATCCAAGGGTGAGGCGTTAGTGGAATTAGAGGAAGCCATTTCCAAAATATTGGTTGACTATTGAGTTTTCTCATTTTTAAAGAAAAAAATGCTTTAAATTTGAGAGAAATATAAAATATTAAAAATAAAAGATTTTTAATATAATCCAGGCTGTGTATTTTTATTATATTAATTAAAAAGTCACTCTTCCCTGAACTAAGAAAGATAACCATCACTTTTCTTCCCTCTATTTTGTAATCTCCCTCCCCTGACAAGGCAATGTCATTCACCACTGACATTGCTCAAAAATGAGCATGGGGGAGGGGAATCATAAAAGATAGGATATTGCCAGAATTTTATTTTTAGAGACTACTAGATCTGCTGATGGTTGCCATGGATATTTCCAGCAGAAGCTCACATTATTGAAGAATCTATAATCATCACTCGTATTTGGAGAAGAAAAAGGTCCAGGGAGATCTCCTTCTAATATAAAAAGGCTCTGGTTTTGCCCTTAAAAGAAAACCTGGCTCATCTTTGATCCTCTTTGCAACCAGAGGTTTGCATGAGAGATTGTATGACCAGTTAGGTTACTTCATTACAGTTGCAATTTCTTTTAGAATAATATACATAGAGGGATCATCTCTTGGTAGCTATTCAACCTGAAAGGGTAGGAGTCTTTCCATTGAAGATACTCCCTTGTTTCAAGGTTCTAGTGGTGGGGCTAGGTCAATCAAGAGCGTTACCAACAGGGTTTTTTTGTGCACCAGCATTCCCTTTCAGAGAGCATAAGATCCTGCCTGTGTGCCAAGTTTGCAGCTGGCCAGACTCCTAGGTTGTACTGGAATTATTCTATGCAACACTGATCCTTACATGAATGCATTTCTTCTGAATGATGTTGATTACCCTTCTTACAACAAAATGATTTCTTTTTTAATTGCAAATAGGGCTCTTGGTGTTTTTTACTTTTTGTATATATCACAGCACATGGTTTTTCACTTTTTATTTTATTTCATTTTATCGGAATTAGCTTTTTTTAATTCTAATTGTGACAAAGTTTGTAATCTCTAGATAATATGTGATTAATTCAATTACCACACTTATACCTTGAAAAGCATCTCAGTTTTTCCCACAATCTCATTGAGTCGTAAGAGACTGAAGTTGCTTCTTGGTTTAAAATCTGGTCCTAAAGAAACAACTGTAGAAACAAAAGCACAGAGTGAAGTTTTACAAAAGACAGGGAATTATAGAATATTCATTACAAACACAGATAACAGTAATAACAAGAAGATGGTGTGTTCCCTGTTTTTACTTAAGATTGAGAAGATTTTTGATGACTCTGAACTCTTTATTTACATTTCAGTTTAAAAGAACAATATCCAAGACTAAGGGGCTGCAATTATCTTTACTCCTTAATATTGCCCGTATTTTAATAAATTATACTAATTGAAAGCATATTTTCAGCACATTGATGGAATTAATTTTGTGAATTACACACATTAAAATAGTCATATGTGGGAATATTATAGCTGGTAACCAGCTGATATTGATTCTTATTATAGGAACGGTTGCAATGGTAGCAATGGTAGCAGTAGTGATACTAGCGGTGGTGATGTGAAGTAAAATAAAATTATATATTATATTGTGCCCAGGTTATTAGAAATTATTTGATCAATGCTTCATTTCATTAAGATATCATAAAGATGTTTATAGTATTTTTTTACTTTATTATTTAAATCATAACTAACAATATTTTTAAAAGCTTATTTTCATTGCTACAATGTCTAATATTCCAAATCAGCCAACTACAACTATATATCTGTTTATAACTATATGTGTGACAGAAGTGATTTTCTTTCTTTTTGAGCTTGAGATGAAAGTAAAAGAGAGCTTAATGAATAATTATGAGCTATTTCTTGAATAATTACTTGCCTTTGGTGTAATACAATAATGAATGAGTGAAAAGAATATTCTCATTGAATATGACACAATGATGTCTTCTGTATGTTTCATGTTGTTATTATTACAGATATCCATTAAACTAAAATCATTTAATCAAATTCTTTATCTGATAGGTAGATTGAGAGCATTTTCTTAATTTGTTACCTTGTACATAACTATACATTTAGTAAAATAGATAAAGTTGAAATATTAATTTCATTTGGCATTCAGCATGTGATATGATTATTGTTTGACTGTGTCTATATATTTGTTGAGTGATGTGCTCAGGTGCTCCCACTACTGATTAATGTGTGTGCTAATATCCTAACAACACATATGATGTTAAAGAAAACAATTTCTTGTCTGAAAAAATAAAAACTCTAATAAAATTGATTTTGAAATAAAAACTAAAGTACTTGGAGACACGTCTTGTTTCTGACTATGTTGCATGCCGTGTTGGTGATTTGCTAGTATGTTCTTTTTTTGTTGTTGTTCTACCCAAATCCACCTGAAAAATCTAATGAACAAGTGCAAATACTTGGGCTAAGATTGTATACACTGATCTGAAAATACATGAAAATTGTATTTTAAATAATGCTTGTAAATCTGTCTTGAGTTTTACTTTGTGTAAAAATATGTCTTGATTCTGTGATTGTATACAGGATGTATCTTGATAACTTATGTAAATTGTGCTGTATAAAGGCTGTTGCCTCAGCCTTACTAATAAATATTGAAAATATCAACTTTGACTTATTGTGTTTATCAACTAATAGATAATATAAGAAATAAAACTTTTCAGAACATTTTCTCTGAAATACATTCACTCACCCAGTTTAATAAAATATATTTTAAATGTAGCACAGATACATTACTTGAATTTGAGAGAAAGTCAATACTTACTAGTATACTCCTGTTTTATTGGAAAAAAACGTTTTCTCCCTCAGAAGAGTTAGCAGTTGAGTGTTTAGCTTCTGACCTACCTATAATTTATGGACATTATTATTACTTTAATGACCATTTGCCTTTAAAAAGATTTTGCTTTGGCTTTTTTTCAGGTAGATTATACAGTGGGCAACTTTAGTGACAAGGCTTGTGAATGATTTGATGGGAGTGTGTATATACTTAGAGAAAAGGTATGATATCTTTTATGGAAAAGAATTAATTGGAGAGGAGATGGAAGTAGATTGTGAAGTGAGATTTGAATAGTATGTACTCTCTGGTTTGCTCAAATAATTGTGAGCAAACTTATAAATTTTGTTTCTGTTACCTAAAGTAAAACTCCTAGAGTTTTTATAAAGGCCATGTCTGCCACATTTATAAAATAGTCTTTTTATCCCTGCCCCAGCTATCAGGATTTTCAGGTTTCACAGGAAATGGCCTAATGAACAGGAATAGAAGTTGTGGTGGAGGTGACTTGGGATACACTGAATACCATGTGCAAGTGGATGTGAAAACTGCATGTATACCAAACCTGCCGCTCATCAAACAGTAACCTCTAACCTTACCTCCAACCCCAAGTATGTGGCCCTTCTGGGTCATGCAGTGACTAAAGTTTCCCAGATTTGCTGGGATTTGTAAATTCAAGGTGGTAATTCAAATGAATTGGAAGAAGAGAAGGTCAAAGAGGAAAAACTGGTAAAGATCTTTCTCCCCTTTAAGAAAAGTATATGCCCTAGAACTGCTCCAGCACCCTTGGTTTCTGATCTTTTAAAATATTGAATATGGATTAGAATAATGAAATCAGATACCATTTGACTGCAAAAATGTCTATAAGCAAATAGTTTTCTTTATTTTGGTATAAAACTGTTAACACCATAGCTTTGTGAAACAAGATATAAAGCAAATGCAAGAGGAAAATAAAGTACTTTTACTTAAATACAGATAAGTGGCATTAAACAGATGTATAACTTAATAAATTATTTGGCAGAAGTGGGAAACTGCCAGGGAAGCGGAGAGTCACACCTCATCAGCAAGAGTACCTGCATAATGAACATCTGTATACCTAACCCTAAATTGTATCCCACATACTTAAAATTAAAAATAAATAAATAAATTATATGGGAGACACTCATAACCACCACCCAGGCCAAAAAAATTAAACTCTATCAGCTATCTCAGAAGTTTTTCATTCCACCCATCCCTATTACAACTCCTTCCCACCCTCCTGAAAGCAACCACCATCCTGATTTGGATGATAATCATTTGTCACTCACATTTGCCCACTAAACATTAGCATAGTTGTCTTGTTTAATTTTTGGCCTTTTTTTCCTAAGCTTCTTTTAATCTACACATTCTACTCCCCCTTCCTTCTTTTTTTTTGAGGAAATCTGGTGTTCCACCTGTAGGATGCCTCACAATCTGAACTTTGCTGATTGCATACTAAGTGTAGTTAACAACTTTCTCTGCCTCTGTATTACCTGTAAACTGCTATTTTGCTGTAAATACTTTATCTAATTCATGTTCAGTCTCTTTGTCACTAGTTGTTCTTGTATTCTTCCACTAAGAGTCATTCAGTGTCTGGTTATCTCTTATTTTGTTCTGTTTGTGGCCACTGATAGTCAATATCTAGAATAGATCCATTGAATTAATTAAATGTTACAAAATGACAGCATTCTAATTTAATGATTATCTCATCTTGAAATATTTATGAAAAGATAAACTTCTTCTGAACATTTATCATAATACTATAAGAAAGGGATTGGCAGTAGTGGGATACTGCCAGAGGAAGGGGTGTCCATAACATCAGTAAGGGTGCCTGATCTCAAACCAAGCAAAGAGGGGACCAAAGGAAGGTCCAAACTTTACATATATGATGACCACTTGTAAACCTAATCCTGAATTGTACCCCCATCTTTAAAATGTAAGAAAAAAAGAGAGATAAACTTCTCAACCAATGTTCGGTTACCCAGTGGTACAACTTACACAGGAAAATTAGGAGAAAGGCAGAGAATGCTAGAAAATTTTCCCTTATTTACCATATTTTACAAGAATAGATGGTCCCTGTCATCCTCCAAAGATGGCCAATTAGTTTTGCTTTTATTTTTATTATCATTATGAAACCAAAGATTGAAAAATATTTAACATGTTTTAATTCTTTGAAGCTATTATTCTTTTTTTTTTTTTTTTTTGAGTTGGAGTCTCACTAATTTTTTACTTTATTGTAGAGACAAGGTCTCGCCGAGTTGCCCGGGCTGGTCTCGAACTCG